GATGTTCCTAAACCCTTCTAATACATTTTTAAGGTAATTACAACTCAACTTTTACTCCTCAACATCAATTATCACCACTTGAGGACCCCAAACTAAATTCTAACACTTTACTCTTATTTGTACCACTTTGGTGACTCAAACAAGTCATAATACACTGGTTAAGACTGTCCCAACAGACCATAATAGCCCTTGATCTCTAACTCTCAAAATCACTACCTCACTTCCTCTATAATAACCTAAAACACTACCAATCCTCTTTACTTTCAACATAACAATTGCTATCTTGGAATATACCCATCTCACATCCTCAATTGCAGTTACACAACACATTTAAATCAATTCACAAGCAACAGTTCACAGATTCACATATGAACATACCAATACATATCATCTCATTTACTCAGAACTTAACATACAACCCAAACAGCAGAATTAATACATAACTCAGTATATACACATACATGCATTTAATTAATAAGAAGTATTCTAGCTCCCCTTACCTCAGAGATGCCACAGCACAGCTCACTGGAATGCTCTAACAGTACCCCGAGTTGTGAGAAACCTAGACAGCACCCTACAAACCACCACTTGGTGATTAAGAACAGCTCTTAGAGCTAGAGTTTGAAAGAAACATGAAGAAGTACGTTTCTAGTTACATGCAACCAGCAGAATCGCATGTTCTAGGTTCCAAAACAACAGAGCACTGAATAAAGCCACTTACCCGACTAAGACTCGAAACTGATCAGTTGGTTTTGAAGATCTCTACGTTCTGGATGCTTGGGCACCACGTGATCGGAAATCAAACAGTTCAGAGAAGAGATTTGGTAGAGAGAAGGCGGAGAAAAGAGGAAGAACTGATTTCTAGAGGGAGAGTAGAAGTAGGCTGATGAACCAGGTTTGTTCAAAAATATATTTTATACTCAAATAGAAATCTAGTTCTATTAGTCTAATATATACTAATTCACTCCTCTAAATCCCAAATTTTTAGGTTCTCACACGTTACCATAAAAATAAAAATTTATCCTTATTGTTATCAAAATTTAATTATTATTTTTATTAAAAATACATATTAAAAATTAACCATAATTCATTATTTTATAATTTTATGATAAAAACTTTAAAGACTTACAAACATATGTTAAATGCCTTGATTGAAAGAGAGCTCAAGGTAAATAATGTATATACATTAAAAACGATGTAAAAGAATAGCATAAATATAACTTGTACATTTAAAATGATAAAAAAATCAAATGATAAAAGAAATGAACAGAAGAATAAATCAGATCTAAGTTCAATAAAAAAAACAACTTAATGGAACCTATTTTTGATGAAATAAAAAATAAACATGATAAATAAAGGTATCCATGAAAGATAAAGTTAGTAATTTTCATTAATCATAACTACAGGTTATCTTTAAGTTTTTAATATTTGTGTGATGTATTTGTCATATTAAATAGAACTTTTGGGTCACTCTATTTCTACATATTTTAGAGAGCTAGGAAAACTCTAATAAATTCATGACATATTCATATTTGATTTCTAGGCAAAGATGAAGTGTTATTATTTTATATTTAAATATGCAACTTCTTCATGTTTGTGTAAAGTTTGTTTTTACTTCATTTGTTTTATTAATTGTTTATATTAATTATTTACATTCTCTTCCTTTGTTTTGAAAGTCTAATGAACTTTCATCCAAAAAGATGATGGGAACGGATGGAGACTGGTATCAGTGCATATGACCCACTAGGTGAGTATGTATGAATGACTTTCACAAAAAAAACAAAAGAAACAAAATAAAATAATTTCAAGGGCTCAATTATTTGGCACTAACAAATTTGTTAATGCAAATTAGATGGGTGTTGAGAAATAAATTACTTGATATATATATAATGCTAATTGATTGCATGAAATTATTGAAGCAAGAAGCACACCCATCATTCCATTTATTTCATACCTAAACAATTGAGGCAACTCAACACATTGGAAAAAAAAGAAAAGTGGCCAAGGCCTATTGCAAATTGTGATTCTCATGGGTCACTTTCATCCTAAATGCTTCTGACCATAAGCATAATAAGTTTCACTATGATACCATACCCATGGTCTAGACATGTATCATGCAAGGGGATGAGAATGTTGAGGAAGAAGGATGGACTAATGTTAACTTTCAATGCCTCATCCAACAACTCTCAATTCATTTCTTTATCTTTTTCTATCTTTTATATCTATATACTTATATGTGATTCATTTTGTTTATTTTTAAAAGTAAAGGTTAATGTATATTTTTCTATTCAAATATATTCTTTTTTAAAATGTTGTGTTTTGATCTTAAACTAAACTACTTATCTCAGCCTATGCACTTCATAAAAGTTATCTAAAACATTCTTTTTAACCTATATTTCAAGTGACTTTCATAAAATATAGTTAATGATGTGATTGATGCAAATCCTATTATTAAGTTTACAATTTATTTTTTAAGATTTTTGAAGATGATATTAAAGTTCATTTATTTATCTTAATATATTCAATAGTTAACACCGAGATATTTGATGATCTCACATTGATTAAATTTCACATCTCAACTATAATTAAATTAATTGGTAACATTGAGTTAAGTCATTTTGCAAGAGAGAAAAATAAAATAAATACAAAGAGTAAAAAGTTAAGATATTTAATTAAAGAAAATTAAAGAAGAAATTAAAAAAAAAATAATTGTAAATAATAAAATGATTTATTGATATCTTACCAAATGTATTAGGTGCATGAATGGTTTAATCAGACGAAAAAATATTCATGTTTTTTCACGAATTGAGATTTGAAATCTTTAACAATAAATAAAATTACATAACTTGAAATATATGGGAACCATAGATCTATAAAATTTACATTCACAAAATATGATACGAAAGTGAAAGAGATTGAAAGATCAAAATTGTCCAAAACATTCGAGAGGACGAAAAATGCAATCAAAACAACTCAAATTAGAATTGTATATGCAGGGAGCATAATTACGCGTTGATAACTTAACTTATATAATTTTTATGTATCGTATTTAATGAAGTAGTTTAAACTTACATTTCATATATATTTTATTGAATTCAATTATCATATTTTAATGAATTTGGATTTTGTAATTAAGAAAAACGTTTATTCAATCAATTTTTAAAAACATACAATCAATCATAGTCATTTTATTGTATACAACTAAAACTGATTTAACCTAACTCACAATGACACACCTCTCAATCTTATGAAGCTAAATCAATGTAAAAACATACTTTTCATTGTAGCAACGTTGAATTCTATCAACGTTTGACTAATGTTTAATTATTCACAACATTAATTAACTAATTAAACTGAGAAGGGTCAAAGCTATTTTATTGAGCCTTTGCCCATAATTAACCTAATGAGGTTTTCCCCCAAAATAAAGAGCACCAAATGAAAACGTGTAATGTTCCTAACCCACTATAAAGCAATGTGCGTTTGTGCCAAAGCACCACAAATGTACGCGCGAATCACTTAACCAACGTGGCCTCATGCAATGTGAATGTGAGTTTGGACCAAACATGCACCAGTCTTTGATTATTTTTTTCATAAAATAAAATATATTAATAGCAGCTGATGCTGATAAAATAACTTGTCGGTCAGTGTACCTCGTTTCAGCCTCAAGTCAAATGATGTATTACACTTCAGCGAAGCAGCAAAGAAAGAATCCTATGACTTCACCACCGTCTCAAATCCCCTTAAAAAGAATAATCTCGATATAAATATGAAATTTATTAAGAATAATATAAATAAATAAAAATAAATATCAAAAATAAAAATGTTATATCTAAATTTTGTCAAATAGAAAATTGGCACTTTTCTTTTCTTTTTCATGCATCATTAGCTTGACCAAGCTGGCTTTTACCACGTCTAAAAGCAAAAACAGAGCAAAGTTAAAAAAGTGTCATGTGGAATTTTGATGAATAAAACAGATTAGTTGGCAACTTTTTTTTGCTCTTGGTCGAGACCTAATTGGGTGGCTTCTTAAGGACCTTTTCTTCCTATTATTTGTTCTGGACATGAATCATGATTCATATTCTGTTTGCACATTGAAAAAAAAATAAAAACGAAAAGCGCGTTCTGGAACTCTGCCAGCAGAGTTAAGCGCGTTTACTTATTTATATGGGAATATTATCCATTACTACTACCACTTCTTTGTAAAAATTATTCCTACTATTTATAGTGGTACTTTCTTGCATGCGCTTTTAACATCACAATCACACCAATGAGTGATTTTTTTTTATTTATATAATTTTTTAAGCACTGTTCTAGCATGCTTTGCAAAACAGTTTACGAGTACTACACCTTTTCTTTTCTGACAAACTAGTTAAACGTAAACTTATGTTTTATTCACTTTTTTAATTTTCAATTTCCGAATCTTTACCATAGCTGTTAAAGAAATTAAGTGGGGTTTCACTCACATAAATGAGAATAACGGTTAATTAATATTGATTTAACTTTTTAATAAAAAATAAATACTAGCAAAATTTTATCTCAATGTAGTGGACAAATAAATATAGTGAATAGAACAACCCTTTATTTGTTTTTGAAATAAATAATTTTAAAACACTTCTAATATATATAATTTTTTCTTAATTTTACAAGAAACTTATTACGATTAATATTCAACTATACTTTAAATATTTTTTCTCTCATAAAAACGATTTTAAAAATTAGAAAGTACCTATCTTTTTTTGTTTCCCAAAATCTTATAAATTGTTCTTAAAATTAAATATTGTGTCTGGTGGGAACGATTATAAAGATAATTTAAAACGTATATAAATTTATTAGTGTTAAATTAATTAATAGTTTCATTTATCTTGATAAATTAAGGAAAAGTGGTTTTTTTTTTCCAATTATGATATGAATGAGTAAGAATTATTATGAATATTATAATTTTGTTTCTTGGACAGTGTTTTGTGTCACGATCCGATCAGTACTAAACCTGCTAGCCTTCATAGAATCACTGTCTCAGACTCTCTCTCTGTCTCGCTCGCTCTCTCTCTCTCTCTCTCTCATTTCTCATTTCTAAAGAACACACTCTCTAATCATTCGAAGAGGCTAGTGAGTGTGAGGGAATAATCAATCACTGATCCACACCAACCAAACCATAACCGAGCACAAACAGCGTGCGTTCTTCTTGTGATTTGTGTTCCAAGCAACCAACCACAGACTCACACACACACCCTCCATAAATCACTTCCACCATTTCCTTCTTTCTTCTTTTTCATCCCCAAAACAAACAAGGTGCTACTACTACTGCTCTACTATTCATCCTTTTCCTTTCAAATTTCAAATTCTTCATTTTCTTTCTCTCTGCCTTGATCTCAAGCAAACGCCTTTCCCTTCCCCTAGAAAATGAGCTTGTGCCATGGTTAGTAGTTACTACTACTGGCTTCTGCTTTTCACTGCTCTGTCTTCGTTACTGCACAAATTTTCTTTTTTCTTTTATGGATGTTGGTACGTACCCATTTCAATGCTGGGTCCGTGATGGATCTGATGCGGTGAATTAATTACTGCGGCCTTGTCGTTATTCCCCTGTTTTTGATTCCCTAATGAGAGAAAGTTTGTGTTTTTCTTTTTCTTTTAATTTCTTACTGTATAATAATGCTAAATTAGTTTCGTGACTTCACTGTTTTAAATGCACGCCACCAAGTTTGACGCGGTATTTCCTTTTCTTTTTGTAGGTTTGCATTTGCTTAACTGGAGCCAGATTCTGTAGATGGTTTCAGCCCAATGAATACAATGACGCTGGAGTAACTGACACTCTTCTCCTGTTTTCTGGGTTCTATTGAAGATTTGGTTTTTGTTAAAGTCCAATTGCATCGTGTGATCTGCTTAGCCGACTTCGCCTACTGTGAAATAAGACATTTGTTGTTGTATTTATTGGTTTCTGGGTGGGTTTTGTGGTGTTTCGATAAGAACATTTATTCGTAGGTGAACTTGTTTGTGCTACTTTGGTGATTGGTCAGAGAATGTCTAGGCCTCTGCAAAGAGGTGTGTCTGGTGGGGTTAGGTTCCCTGAGAGTGGCCATGACTTGTGGGACTCCCAATCTAAGGATAAACCAGAAAAGGAAGATTTGGATAAGAGGGGTTCTTCAGATCATAGCCCTTTTGCTTTGAGGTTTCCTTTGAGGTTGCTTCTGGGAAATAATTCTGATTCCAAATATGGCAATGGCATTGGTGAGAATGGTTTTGCATCCGATTCCTTCATCGTTAGCTCCCCGCGGAACCGGCTTAAGCTGATGCTGCTTTCTTTGAAGTTTAGTTTAGTGTTCATAGTTGTTCTGGCTATTACTGGATCTTTTTGGTGGACTTTATCGATTTCATCCTCGTCAAGAGATCACATTTACCATGGTTATAGAAGGCTTCAAGAGAAGCTAGTCTCAGACCTTTTGGATATTGGTGAGTTTTCTCGCGGTCCGTTGAGGTTGAAGGAATCGGAATTCTGTCCTCAGGAATTGGAAAACTTTGTTCCTTGCTACAATGTTTCTGAGAATGTGGAATTGGAAGTTTCTGATAGCAACGAAATTGACCGGCAATGTGGTCATGAGCCTAGGCAGAATTGTTTAGTTCTGCCACCCGTGAATTACAAAATTCCTTTAAGGTGGCCTACTGGAAAAGATGTTATCTGGGTTGCTAATGTGAAGATCACAGCACAGGAAGTTCTTTCTTCTGGAAGCTTGACAAAGAGGTGAGTGACATATCAATGTTTCTCTTGCTTTAAGCTATTTTTGATTGCTAAAGCTTTTGGATGTAATCTAATTACAGGATGATGATGCTGGACGAAGAGCAAATTTCATTTCGTTCAGCCTCTCACATGTTTGATGGTGTTGAAGACTACTCACATCAAATTGCTGAAATGATTGGACTTAGAAATGAATCTTATTTAATACAAGCTGGGGTAAATATTTTTGTGCTTTCTCTTGAAATATGCTCATGAATTGTTTGTTGCTTGATTTTTTTACGGTCTTTATTGATTATACTTGTATTTCACTAATTTGATACCTTCTCTCTGTCAATTTCATGATACTTAATGGCATATGTTTTACCATAATATATATATTAACTATCTTGATAAAATGAATATTCTTAAAATATTCACTGTGGGCATATAAGATGGTACCTTGTATATGTCATAGTTGTTATAAACTTGTTGGGTCTGAAAGTGATGTTATAAAGTGCTTTTTAGGGACTTGTGTTAGATTTTTTTTATGGGTTTGTGGCATTGGATCTGAACTGAGTTCAGAAAGTGTGGTTGTGATGCTCCTTCCATGAAATCTTATTTGATCGAGAATTTTGGCATCCTAAAATTTGCAGGTTCGAACTATACTAGACATAGGTTGTGGCTATGGTAGCTTTGGAGCACATCTCTTTGACAGTCAGCTTTTAACTATGTGCATTGCAAACTATGAGCCTTCTGGCAGTCAAGTTCAGCTTACTCTCGAGAGGGGTCTTCCTGCTATGATTGCTTCTTTCACTTCGAAGCAGCTGCCATTTCCATCTCTATCCTTTGATATGTTACATTGTGCCAGATGTGGAATTGATTGGGACCAGAAAGGTATCTTCCAACTTTCATTCTATGCTACTTTCTGTTGGATTGGATCAACATGCATCAATCATGTTCTATACTTATTTGACAACATAGGTGATACATCACATATTATACGTGTTATAGGAAGAGGTTAGTTGTCATAAATAAGAATAGGATCAACTCCTTGGTTCTTCACCATACGCCTTTTTTTTTATATGCCTTGATGTATTTCTGGTAAGTTTTTTACATTGACTTTTCCGATATTAATAAAATGATTCTAACTGGTATGCCTACAACTCATTGGGAGCATTTCTGATGCAAAAGAACTATTTTTTGCACTGCAGAATTAAGAAAAATGATATGGTACATACTTTAGGAAAAATGTCCATATTTAGTTCTTTGTTAAATGAAGTTTCCCATAGTTAAATGTGCTAAAATAAGTAACCTTTTAATGTTTACTTGCCATTCCTGAAGTATCCAACAAAACCGGGTTTAACTTTTGAAACTCTCCATTCTGTTATCTGTTATAAGGTGTTAACATAAACTCTAAAAATTTGTATCTTCCTTCAGAACCATAACTTTGATTTATGTATAATTGTTATTAATATTTTAGTACCTTGTAACTTAATAATGCTCATATTACATGGTGTAGATGGCATGCTCCTGATTGAAGCAGATAGACTTTTAAAACCGGGTGGGTACTTTGTTTGGACATCACCACTAACAAATGCTCGTAACAAAGAGAATCAGAAAAGATGGAAGTTTATACAGGATTTTACATTAACACTTTGCTGGGAACTGCTGTCGCAACAAGATGAAACTGTAGTATGGAAGAAAACCAGTAAAAAAGGTTGCTATGGTTCAAGGTAATTCTTTCATACATGTACTTGAGAAAAATTATTTGACATTTTTTTTGTCCTGTAAAACAGAATTATAGTTAATAGATTCTATACTATGTATATACAATATGTTTAGAATTTTGAAATGAATGTGACCTGACTCTTAGCTTGGTCTTTTCTTTCTACCAGAAAGTCAGGTTCTGGCCCTTCTTTGTGTGGTAGAGGTATTGACGTGGAGACTCCACATTATCGAGAACTGCAAAACTGCATAGGAGGAATGCAGAGCGCTCGTTGGATTCCAATTGAGAAAAGGGAAAGATGGCCTTCTCGTGCTAACTTGAACAAGAACGAGTTAGCTATATACGGTAATGTTTATGTTCTTAATGATTTGTAGACCACTTTGTGGAAGTGATTGCATTGTAATTGTACTACTCTCTTGCCGAATCAAATCTCCTATTCATTTGGTTAACTTAATAGGCCTATATTTTTCAATGTACCAGGGTTGCAGCCTGATGAACTTACTGAGGACTCTGACAGCTGGAAAACAGCAGTCCAGAATTATTGGTCTCTTCTGTCACCTTTGATATTCTCTGATCATCCAAAGAGGCCGGGCGATGAGGACCCTTCACCCCCTTACAACATGCTCAGAAACGTGTTGGACATGAATGCCCATTTTGGTGGCTTTAATTCTGCATTGCTGCAAGCTAGAAAGTCTGTGTGGGTGATGAATGTTGTCCCAATAAATGGACCCAATTATCTTCCCTTGATCCAGGACAGAGGATTTGTTGGCGTTCTCCATGATTGGTACTTTAATCTCCTTTGCCCTTTTATTTAAATGACATGCTTGTCTAGTTCAATTACTTTTTTTTTGGTTACCTTGATATAGATTCTCTGTCACATGCTATACTCTTTCTTCCTTCCACCTTTTAAAACTCGATCCGTTGTTATTTTCAAAACCTTCACCTTAATTTCTTGATCCAGGTCTAACTATTTTCAATGGAGGTTTATACCATGTTAACATTTACACCTTGTGAACACAGCTTTTTAATTTTAGTAATGATTCAGCCATCTGACATTTCTAAAATACGTAGTTGAGAGCAAAATTAAAACATGATCATATACAATTTACTTTTCGAATTACATCTGGCTTATAGCCTTGATATGATTTTGTGAAGAATAGTTAGTTGGTAATTATAGTTTCCTTAATGATTTTTATTTTCTATGACTTCTAGGTGTGAGGCTTTTCCGACATACCCTAGAACCTATGACTTGGTGCATGCAGCAGGATTTCTATCCCTTGAAACTGAGCAGCACAGGTGTACCATGGTTGACATGTTCCTTGAAATTGACAGAATACTTCGCCCAGAGGTATGTCAATTTAGCAATGTTGAACCAAAACTGCTATAAGATTAGCTCATAAAGTACTGCATCAATATTTTATGCAGTTTGTTCTGTAAAATGTGGATGAACTTTGAATCAGGCAACCCTTCTATTGTGTACATTGTTGATTGAGTGTGATCAGTATGTTCATATAAAATACTTTTTTAAACAAGTAAAAATGTTTCATGATTTCATCCCCTTCAATGACTTTTGATATGCTGACACTGGTCATGTCTGCAGGGTTGGGTTATAATTCGTGACACAGTTCCCTTAATAGAATCAGCCAGAGCTCTAACAGCACAGCTGAAGTGGGATGCAAGAGTGGTAGAAATTGAAAGTGACAGTGATCAGAGACTCCTGATCTGCCAGAAACCTTTCTTTAAGAGACAGGCAAGCTAAAAAATTGGAGGCCTGAAGAAATTAGATCAATATATATATACATATATATATTATATATTCATTTCCATAATGACCATAAAGCTCCAAAATACAAAGTGGGGGGTTCAAAATTTTGGACAAAAGAACACAACATATAGAGGAAACTGTATCTTCCTCAATGATACCACCACATCACCTATGTAACCGTAAGGTGTGCATAGGACCATGTAATTACCAAACAAGCCACAGAGCAGATGAGAAAGTAGTATACTGGTAGGTTAATTTACTTTTTCATGTGATGTCTGATTAGAGTTACACAGTGACAGAATCAATATTAAGATTGGGAACATGGTGAGAAAATAAGTTATTGTTGTACAATGCTCAGTGGTTGATTACCCCTTATAGAATATTTTTCTGCTACTCTTTATAAGTTATTGAATGTCTCTTGTATAAGCTTTGGCAAAACTACACTTCATAGTTTGTCAATGTTTATAATGTTAAATCAAAATGATATTGTTGATCAGTCCATTACAGATTGTAACAAGACATCTGCATATAGATGTTTGTTTGGCATTAGTAATTTAAGGAAAATTATAATTTGTGTAAGTAATTTTCTTAAAATAAAAGTAAAATGGTGAAAAAGTGAAGTGGAGATTATAAATCATTATGAAAAATGACTTTCATGTCTTTGAAAACTTAATGAACCTAACTTTGAGGGAAAAAAATTTAGGAGAAAAAAGTATGATTGAAAGTTAAAAATAGTCTATATATGAATTAAAAGTTAAAATTTTAAAAAAAATCATGTGGATGAATTTTTTCTCTTGAAACGTTCATTGATAAATTTGTTCAAACATATCATATTAAAAAATTTCAACCATTTTTCAAAAACAGTTTTATAAAATTGTACCAAATACAAAAGATTTTTGATAACACAATTGCATGAAAAGTACTGTGTTATAAGTTGTTATGACGAGGGTCTTAATCAGATGCACTTTTAAATGTTAATATTATCACAATTTCCGAAAAATAAAAGATATCGTGGTAGATGTGTAAACATAGGATGGGTAAAAGATATCACAATTTTCGAATATATATTAGTTTCAAAAAAAAGATTCAAAAGCTTTGAATGATGACAAGCTTTATTATTCTAGCAAAGGTACCATTCTTGATATTTTAAAATACATGCAAGTACATAATTTTAAAATACAACTCTTCATTCAAATTCTTTAAACTACAATTACAGAATATAATACTTTTTACTAATGAAAAAACATCCAGAAGTGTGCAAACATAGGATACCCATTAGTTTTTATCATAATTAAGTGATAATATCTTGTCAATTTATTTTTTTAATTTCCATTTGTGGATGAATTTATTTTACTTATTCTTTAATAATTAAATTAAAAAGAATCTATCTATTTTTATTGTAATAAATATAGGCTCGTCTTATTGGATGTAGAAGGCTTTTCCTTCTAAACAATTCCAAATCTTATCTGATGATAATGAGAAGGACATTTTTTGTTGGAATAAATATGAGAAGGACTTTGCACCCATATGAATTATGATCTTATTTAACAGGAATATGAAATGACAGCTTCTCCTAATTCAAATTTAAATAAAACTGACATTGATTTCTTTAATATATAAAAAGTTAACACTGTATAATAGTATATACTTTTATTTCTTATTTCCATTTCTTTCCTTTTCACATATAAGCATTTAATCAATAAAACCCAAGTTTTTGAACAAAATCTTCTTAATTTTCTTCTTGTTCGCAAGACCTTAAAGCAGTTTTATAAAATAAATAAGTATTGCTATGAAAAAAATCAAAACCGACCTTAGCTCAGTTGGTAGAGCGGAGGACTGTAGTAGGTAAAATGCCTAATAGCTATCCTTAGGTCGCTGGTTCGAATCCGGCAGGTCGGAATTAAATTTTTAATTTTGCCTTATAAATGAACTCTTTGTACTCTTTAATGTAAGTTTAATAATTAGTAATTAGTTAATATTCCTTTGAAAAAATAATATAACCGACCTTAGCTCAGTTGGTAGAGCGGAGGACTGTAGTGGGTATAATACCTGATAGTTATCCTTAGGTCGCTGGTTCGAATCCGGCAGGTCGGATTTTGTTTGTTTTTTATTTTTGTCCTCTTACTTTTATATTATAATTTTCTTTTTACTCTTTAACTAATTAAAACTAATCAGAAACTTTATGCACTGTTCTGTTGAAAGAAAGCTTACTAAAAATGTTAATGAGTTTGGAAATTGTTCGGCACCACTGAAGAATTCCACTAATCAGTCGCCATAAAATTTACGAATCTACTTTAAATCTTCAATGTGCAACTTTGATATGATTCTTTAAAAGAGCGCACACTCCTGCTAGTGCTGGAATCACTTATTTATACTCTAAAAGCAAATTAATTGACTGATATTAAAGAAAGACTAATCAGTGCATTAGATGAAACTCGTACACCCTCTCTGACAAGGGCTGTGGATTTTTGTGGTGTCCTACATCAGATACTTTATAGCATCTAAACTGATTTTTTTCATCATGCCTTGTTCTTCAGATAATTTAAGAGTGATGATGGATACCAATGGGCCACCCAATTATTCAATTTGTATATTTTCCATAGAATTTCTGAAACCCAGATGATCATATGTCATATCAAGTTCCACACACCAAAGTTGGAGACAAAGAAGAGTCCATTACTTCAAAACTTGACAATGTTACAATCAAAAAACATTTCAAAAGTTCAGACTGTAGGATGAAAGCAAATAATGGCTTTCACATATAAGTCTGACACACTCCCTCATGTTAGAGCCCTTTGGGCTTGATGCCACTACATGATTATGGATCATTTTATCAAAAAAACAAATCAAGAGGCAGCAACACCTATAACACATTTTCCTCTGGTGTAACATTGCAAAGAAAAGAACCATATGAAACATGTCCCATTGAGTTGTTCCTTCTACAAGCACTAAAAACCGATTTTTCACATCCTTGTTCGGTTCGTGCTTTTGTGGGAAGCACTTGCACTTCTTCTATACCCTTTGGAAAGAGTTGATCCTCCATGAGTAAGTTTTCTTATTGATCTTTTGTCACAGCTCCGCGTGCTGTTCCCAAGGGCAGCTCTGGCAACACTGTCACTTAATATTTCGCGTGTCCTTTGAGCCTTGAGTGGTTGCTTGTTAAGGTACACCAACTTTGGAAGAAGACCAGAGACTGCTTTAGTTAGCTCGCCATAGCTGATGTTTCTTTCAATTGGATTTCCCAGCAGATTAAGAGCCTTAAGTGAGTTGTAGTTAGCTACTAGCTGGCCTATTGCTTTTGTTGTTGTGATCTTGTTGAAGCTCAAATCTAGAAGTGTTAGTTTCAATAGCCTGTGTAGCCCTTCAGCATCACTTATCTTGTTCCCCACAAGATATAGTTCTTTGACAAGTGTGCAACTTGACAAACCTGACAAACCACACAATGAAATGGAAAAAACTGAAAATGAAGGCTAAACAAATTTGAAATGCTAACATCTTTGAGCATCAACTTATATCAAAGCTAACCTTGTCCAATTCTTGAGATGCGGTTGTAACTCAGGTCAATTACCCGCAACTTGGTCAATTCTCTGAGGCCGTCAAGAGTGCTGATCTTGTTTCTTGACAAGTTAAGTGTTTGAATACCCTTTGGTAGAAATCCCGGTGAGATGTGAGCTGCATGGTCAACGTTAAGAAATGAATCAGTAAATGCAGTTAGTGATTGATTTATTGATGTTGCATCAAGTGCTACATTCTAGTTCCAAGTTGTACCTATGAAATTGTTTGACAGGTTGACAGAGCGGAGATTGGATAAGTGTGAAATAGCAGGGATGGCTTTTACACCAATACCAGATATGTGAGCAATAGATGAAGCTGGATTTAGAGACTGGACTACACTAATGGCAGTTAAAGTCTCTTTTGAAAAATTGGCATCTGCATAAGTCAACTGAGATGTGGCTCTCATCATTGTTCCACCAGTATCAGGGGAAGGTGGGAAGGTTATGCTTCTGCCATTGTCAACATCAAAATCATCCTCAGGAAGTAGTTGTTGAATTTCAAGACCTTTCACCCATGCATCCACTCTGGCAAAAGAGGATGAAGACGCTTTGGAGAAAGCAAGCCATTGGTCACTTTGAAACCTGCTCCCCTTTTTATTATCTGTACTTTTACCAGTTCTTCTTTTGTTAAAGGATTCTGCAGTAATTGAACCAGAGGATTTCACAGGCCTCATTGTCTTTCCTTGTTTTGGTTCAAGGATGTCTGAAGAGTACCCACTATTTAATGCAGCACTGGCAGGAACCAGCGTTGAATTGCCAGAGAAAGTTCAGTGTATGTTCCTGTGGCTCCGCAGGATCATTTTCCACCACAATTTTTTCTTTCCAGAAGGAAGTAACTGACTTGAAGAATGCCTTTTCAGCACTACTCTATCAGCACTGTAGTGACTCTTCACTGACCAAGGGCTTTCAAGATTAACCATTGCTGATAATTCCTTAAAATCATCAAAAGGCTTTGACTTTAAAGCTGACAAAAAACGAGTTTTCGTACCATGCTCATCAAACTTTTCAAGGTTAGAGAAGTGTCTCTTGAACTTTGCAGAAGTCCACAAATCAGCTTTGCGAATCCCAGGATCACTGACGAGTCCACTTTCGGTTGTTTCAACACTCTTTTGGCTGTATTTGTCGGTTCTGTCATCCGATTCTTCGTTGACTTGATTTTCATACAAAATAGGATACTCTATTTCTTTATCAGTGGCACCATATCCTTTGTCTGCAACAGCTTCATGATCTTGGAGATGAAAATCAGAGATTTCCCTCTTGATCTTCAGTGAATCTTCATCCTCATCTTCCCGTTCATAAACCTCCCGTACTTCAGCCTCCACACAAGTATCAGGACTCATAACCCCTGAATTGAAACTTGAATTTTTGGGAATACCATTGGATAATGTGGCATCAAAAGTGGTTGGCACTGATGCTATTTTTGAAGATTGTAGTTTGGCAAGTAGAGTGCTAAAGTCTTCCTTTGAAGACCTTCCACTTCCACTTCCCTGAATAAACAAACAAAATTGAGATAATATAAATTAAATCACAATTCACAAGTTTTATAGGAACTCCATAAAAAAAAACAAGAGACACAAATCCTAATTGACTTTCTTACCTTGTATTTCTCCTTCCTTACAGTCAAAATAGAGAAGCACATAGCCATGATTGCCACCAAAAGATAAGGTTTGTTCCAACCCTTCAATTTTATCTTCTCTATGGCTTTTGAGTCGGTTGCACTTTCTTATAAGAAATCCTAGACAGCTTTCCACATAAATCTACAATTTTCTTCCTTTCACAACAATACAAAAAACCACACTAGTAGTTCAGCAATCACATTGAACCAAATGTTAGCCATAATCAATGGGAAGGCG